GAAAATTTTATATTTCATAATAATAATTTATTAAATGTAAAAACGTATCCATGCTATGTTGTATCCTTCCTTTTGTAATCATGCTGTGTCATCTTGTTCGTGCCTTGTCGTATCCATGTTTTTGTGACTGTGCCTATGCTTCATAGGTGACAGCAGAGAATTGACTTGATCATTATCACGATTAGAGAGGAAAGAATTGGCTTCATAAAAGATGGGCTTCAGATTTTAGTTGTTGTTAGGCATGGGTGATGGTAGGTGAGGATTTCAATAAGCTGGGCAAGTTTGGGCAGCTAGCTTGGTCATTCTTTTAATAGAAGAGCAGATTAAACGAACTGGAAGGTGGGCATCACACATTAGTTGCTTAAGAACTAATTAATGAGTTTTTTATTTTCTAAAACATTCTATTAATCTCCCTGTTTGAAGTGATATTATGAATGTTGTATCAAGTTATGACAATTTTATGAATTTTACTATAGGTGCGAAAGATAATGACACTGGAGCAATAAGAAGCAATGATCCGAGGATTAGAAATAATATAGTTTGAGCAGATGATATACATTCACCAGATTTGACCTGCTACATTTTGGTGCTACACTCCTAAGCGCTATGGTGCAACTCTTTGTAGTGCAAAGATGCTCTTTTTCAAAATAATTGACAGAGTAGATAGTGCTTAAGCTTTCATCCTGCAGCGTCATATCCGTACAAATAATAGTTGTAAGACAAGACAATGCTGCCTAGGTGCTACTATACTAGTGTCATGGTGCGTGATACGGATTTGTGGAAGTTCAATGCAATTTAGAGGACCATAGAGAAGTTACAAGTGTTGTTGGAAGAGTTCCTTTGGGGTTTTGAAGCAGTTTCAGGACCGTGAAGAATTTACAAGGGTATTTGTAGGAGTTCCGTTGAGGGTTTAAAAGAGGAAAATTTGAGTGTACCAAAAGGAAGATGAATCAAGGTGACTTTGGGTACAAGGGTGGTTGGAGGTTTGGAGGTTTGAAGCAGTTTCAGGACTGTGAAGAAGTTACAATTGGAGGAGTTCTATTGGGGGTTTAAAAGAGGAAGATTTGAGTGTACCATGCCATTAAACTGGGAGCAAGAATGAAGATGAATCAAGGTGATTTTGGGTACAAAATTGCATGTGGTTTTATTTTCCTTCTAATTTTTCTAATCTAGTTCAATGTCAAATTTTATTTGTTCTATATATTTATTTTATTAAACTATGAAGAACTAATTTGAATTTTGAATTTATGGTATAATGAAGACATCTCTTGTTTAATGAATATGTTCAATTTTTTATGTTTCATTGTGTGATTTTTTGATTTACTTTGTGTTTCATTAAGTTATTCAAGTGGCCAATACTTAACTTCAATCTAATGATTTCACAGGAATTATCTAGAGCATTGCAAAAGATAAATCAATTAGTCTTCATTTAAAAGTAATGGACTCAATTAGGGCTTGCAATCTTTTAAGAATAAAACTTAACACAATCTTTTAAGTTAATTCACAGAATAATATAGTGAATTAGTGAAATGAATTAGGTTTTCTAATTATTGAAATATATTAGAAAGATTTATTCTTGATTGATAATCTAAACTATCTTGTAATTATACCAAATTATGAAATTGAAGAATCATATTTAAGTGAACCCATAAATCTAGATTTCTCTTTAGTTAAAATAAGCTTAATTCTATTATTAGATTTTTAAAGTTTTATCTCGAGGCATTGAGTAAAATAAATTATGATATAAATTCCTATTTAAGTTATTCAGGATTAATTTTTATTTTTTATTTTTTGTGGGAAAGCTATCATATTTGATTTCTTTGACATGTGCACTTACATGTTATGCGAAATAGCCAATAAGAAGTCAAATGTTGGTTTTGATGGGTGTAGAATGAAAATCAACATTCAATGAGCTCTTTAGAAGTCAGGTGATAATGGACAATTGATTTGTTGTTCATCTAATAGGAGGGGAGATTTGACAACAAGGGATACAAGTGTTAGTTTTCAGGTGACAATAGAAAAGGAATGCCTGAAGTTTGGTGACCAATTTGGTTGTGCTTGATAGGATTATTTGGAATATGGACATAGATTTTGGTCATTGGCATGCATTAGATGATGTTTGATATGTTATGCTAGAAGGAGAACGAATGTGTGTGATTGACTTGGTCATTCTTCAAATAGGTGGAAAGACTTGGTGATTGGGATGGACATTGGACTTTTGTTGTGGACAAACATTAATAAATTGTTGACAAATTTTTGTCAAATTTATTTGATTGTCGATTGTTGACTTGATCATTCTTCTGGTAGGATGGAGCACATATAATGAGGAAGCTAAACTTTGGTGGCTGATTGGTTGTCAAACATCATGCAACTATCTAGTAAGAAGTTTAGAAATTGGGTGATCGATTTGGTTATTGTCTGTCTCTTATTAGGAAGCCAGTTCAGGTAGCTAAGAAAACTTGCACCTAATGTTGCTTGTTGGTAGGCGTGGGGCGATTACAGACAGGGATTTTCATAAGTCTGATGATGACGACCAGATGGTTTTGTTTTTTTTTGCTGATTGGAGGGGAGACCAAACAACCCATAAGATAGGCATTAGATTTTGGTCTTCATATAGCATCAAATGACGGATGATGGTGGGCATAGGTATCAATTGATGAATAGCATCAAAATCAATTGATGGCTAGCATAAGAAGTTATGCGACGATTGACAGTTATGTTGTTGATTGGTAATGAATGATTGTAGGCATTAACATTGGTAGATAATTAATGGCTGATATTAGCGGCTGGTACTGGAGGGTGTTAACTTTGGTTAATGGTCTACAATGGCGTAGTTTTGGAATTCTTTTTGGATTCTTTGTTTCTCTTCTTGTTAAAAATCTTTTCATGAATATATAGCAATATGGCCTATTTATAGATTTTTTTGAGGTCTCATTTTCTCCTTTTTATTGAAATCTATTAAAATGTCGGCTTTAGATCAAAAGGCTTGAAGCATTGGAAGTTATGTGACGATTGACAGTTATGTTGTTTGATTGGTGATGAATGATTGCAGGCATTGACATTGTTAGATGATTAATGGTTGATATAAGGTAGTTGGTAATGGAGGGTGTTGACATTGGTTAATCGTCTACGAAGGCATAGTTTTGAAATTCCTTTTGTATTCAATGTTTCTCTTTTTGTTAAATATCTTTTCATGAATATATAGCATTATGGCCTATTTATAGATTTTTTGGAGGTCTCATTTTCTCTTTTTTATTGAAATCTATTAAATTGTCAGCTTTAGATCAAATGACTTGAATCATACCACCTTTAAAATTGACATTTCTTTTGACATTTTTGTGCCCAAGGAAATTTAGATTTATATAATTTTGAATTTCTTGAATCATCACGATGAAACAGATCGATTTAATTGCAAATACGATGAAGTTAGAGTGTCCAACTCTCCAATTAATTTGCAGAAGTCTTGGCCTTAAATTTTTAAGGCTTTAAAGTCACATTATATGTCAAAAATTGCGCTCAATCTGATGGATTTTTACGGACTAGGGATGCGTTTGTTTCAATTGTGGCTGTATAAAGTCTCAGTTTAAAAGTTGCTATTGAAAATCTACTGTTCTAAAACACCACTGTTCTGAAACTAGTGTTTCAGAAATAGCTGGTTTATTTGAAAAACACAGTTCTTAAAGTGCTTCCTGTGGACTAATGACTGTATTACCCCTCAGTACATATATTATGTTGATAACATAGACATTTGTAATATATGTAATTCTCCTTTTTTAACTGTGCTACCCGAAAATTCAGAAATACAAAAATAAGGTCTATAAATTAATTTATTAAACAAATTTATTCCATCTTTTATTTTTATTTTTCATATCCACTCTTTCAATTCCTTTAAACCAAACAGACTTGAATGGATCAATACATACCATATTATTTGTCGAAACAAAAATATTTTTTGCATTTGTGAAGTAAATATACCCTCAGCTAAACTCTTTCCACATCATCGGCAAAAAAAAAAAATAATAATTACAATTTATTTTAGAAAATACAACCAATAGTGTCCATGTTGCAGCTATGGATCTAAGCCACATTCCAACAAAATTAAAACACAACCAATTTTGGGTAATAGATCTTATAAAATATTATCAAACTTAAAAAATCTATTCCAGTCATATTAAACCAAAAATACATAGATGTTGGAATGAAAATTTTGGGTGGAATCAATAAGAAATCGAGAAAGTCATAATACCTCGTAGCTCTTCTAGGCGAATTCGAACCAAATCAGCTTGCGGAACCATCCTGCGCTTAGACAATGAAAGTATAAATTGCCTGCACAGAGCAGACAAGAAAAAATGGGCTAGAGAGAGATGGTGAGAGAACCTTAGAAGGCTCCCATTTTTGCGTCATGGATGAAGCCCTGAGCTCCGCCGCCTGACATCTAGCTTGGATGGAAGTGGAGGAAGGGCTTAGCAGCTGTGAGCAGTGGCGCCATGGAAGATTCTTGATGCTAGGATTTCACGCAGACGGGGGCAACCATGAAAATTCCGTTTCGTTTTGTTGAGATGCGGAACAGTTCCCACGCCCGCGTTTTTATTAATCTGCAGAACATGGTTCGGGAATCCAATGGCGAAAAGTGTGAATCAAACATCACAAACCGTAATTTATTTCAAAACGTGGTTCAAAACTTTGAAGCAAACGCACCCTATGTGAATAGTTTTATTTTGACCACAGATATGTTTTCATTTGGTGATTTGTTTATTTTAAAAATATGATGACACATGATCGCAAGAGTACATGTTTGGATTATGAAAATAGTCTCTTTGCAATTTAAAGGTAAGGCCGCATTGACATGTGTCTTATGCTTAGGGTACAGGTTTTTTTGACTTCAAATAATAAAATGTTGTTTTTCCTTTTCTACAAGTTTGCACTTGGTGCTAGTTTGTATCATCTTGCGATCTTTTAGCATTCACTGTAATAGGATCAACAATATTGTTATTATGCAGGTTCCACTTCTCGGTGGAGCTATGTGTGCCTGCACTTGGCATTTCTTCTATAACTCAGAGTCCCTTGAGGTGATATAACCTTTTACCTAACCTTATGGCTTATTTGTCTTCCATTGTTTGGCAAGTAGACTGTGAGGAGTCTGCTTTATAGCTTCAGATTCATTCTTTCTAAGATGAAATATTTGCATAGACCACGTTGCTTTATTATGCTACATTTTCATGATATAATTTTTTGTTTATAGTTAATCATTTTTTTGTTGTTGGGACATGGTTAATGATGATGATGATGGTAATTGACCTTTATTTGCTATAACATGGTACTTCCAGAACCTTCTTTTTCTTTGATGAAAAGCTAGGGAATCCTTTCTCATGGCAATAGCATAGAGTTTATATCGATAAAAGAACAAGAAATTCAATATAAGGGAGTAAAAGACTAAATAATTTTAAGAACTGTTCCAGATTTTATGAAAAGAGTGCTTTTTTTTCAGTTCAATTGATAGTAAATATTTGCTTCTCTTTAGTACTGTGTATCCTAAGTCAGTGAGGTTGACTCAGGTAAACCTTAAGATATTCTCTTCTTTTTTCCTTTAAAAAAGAAGAAGCTGAACTGTTCCAGATTTTACGAAAAAAGTGATTTTTTTTAATTCAATTGATAGTAAATATTTTCTTCCCTTTAGTATTGTGAATCCAAAATTCAGTGAGGTTGACTCTGGTAAACCATAAGATATTCCCTTCCTTTTTCCTTTTAAAAAAAAACCCTTTAACTTTCTTTTCATTCAATATATTTATTTCTGCCATCAAGTGAGTAAAGCCTCCCCAAACATTTGTTATAGAATTTCAACCAAAGATGATATGAAAGTCATCCTCACGTTTGCCTTCACACATGATACAAGTAGCATTAATAATAATGTTATTATTTATTAAGGTGATAATGCTAGGAATCATTCTTTATAAAAATAAACCACACATGTATTTGCCTTCACACATGATACAAGTAGCATTAATAATAATGGATTTTAAGGAGCAAATCTGAGCGCACACACCACAATCCAATAGAAAAGAATAAAGGCACTCGATGAAAGAGTACCATCGTGATATATAAGCCAAGGCAGGATGTTTGGATCAAGGTCGAGTTTAAGTCGTTTGGTAGTTGATAAAAATAGTTCCTTACTACATTGAAGGTGCAAAAAGATCATCCATTTTTAGAACCCATGCTCACATTTGTTTAAAGAAAAAAACCACAATAATATCACTACTTTTAGAAAATGGGAGAAACTCATAAAATTGACAAGAGAGAGTGATTATTGATCTAATCATCTTTCCCAAAATTGACACTTCTATCATTGTGAACTTTCTATGTAGCTCTAAGAAAATATTGTGAAGGAGCGTTAAAAACCATTTTAATTAAGTTTGGAACAATGAACTATATTACTTGACAAAAATCCAAAAGAGTAAGGTTGGTAAAATATGCAAATGAGTAATAAACCTAGCAGTGGATCTGTGGTTAGAAGCAATCCATTTTCATATTCATTTACCAAAGAGGGCAAGCCCATCCTGCGCAGGCCTTTGATGCTAAGGTCACTTTATTTTTTTTTTCTTGCAAATATTTTTCTTGCATGATGAGGTTAACACCACCTTCATCATTTCCCTTCTACAAATTATTTTTTTTTCTAACGGTTAAATTTTAAAATAGTTCCCCAATTATTCGTTTGTGACCAATTTAGTTTCATAATAACATTTCTCCTATTTAGTTTTTGGATATATAAAATTGATCCAAATTGGTCCTAAAGGGAGTAATTCTGATTAAATTTGTGTTGTTGAGGGATTCAAATAAGATCAATTAAATATCATAATTTCTGCTAAATAAGAGACCATTTTTTTATTAATTTTGTAAATTCAAGAGACTAGAATGGAGAAATGTGATACTCTAGGATTAGACTGGCCATACCCGAATGGTTCAGGGAACTAATTAGAATTTTTCTTATTTTTCTGATATCATCTAGTTTGTTAAACTTGAATGGATGTATCCCTTCATATATAGTTCCCTTTAAACACATTTGCATTCATATATAAAGGGATAGAGAAATAATTGGGAGGGTTATAAATCCATAGCATACATGCATATAGTTCCATCCAAATTAATTTCAGTTGTTCTTTCTGTGAGAAATTTTCTAATTAAAGGCGCTCTATAATGTCGATTTGGTTTGAATATGTTTAATATATACTTATGCATGTGAATGCTCTATGTATTTAGTAGATTCTTGTGGCCATGCAAGGTGCATCAAACTTCTGCATTTGAATGCTCGATGTTAATTGCAGATTCTGGTGGCTATGCAAGGTGCATTAACCGTTTTTGGTAATATGACAATGTGCATTGCCGCATTCCGCATATTTAAGGCATATCAGGGAAGCTCTAATAATTCTTGATTATTTGCTCATTGTAATGCTAGCTTCTTTTTCTTCTTAAATATCAATTGGATCATAGTTATCGGTATGGTATCCTGTTCTTCGAATTGAATGTAATACTGTATGATCATTCAAATCATTATGTGCTTTTGTGACGACGAAATTTTATGTGGTTGTGACCTCATTATTCTATTGTTAGCTTGTCTCTTCTCAAGGTGCAATATGATTTGAGTGTTTTGTTAGACATTGTGCAAGGAGACTTGCAGAGGAAGTTGCAAAGAACATGAACAAAGAAGGAAGGATACATATATTCCATTCATGATGATAATGATGAAATTTATTAAACCAAGTATGGTTTGCTAGGTATGCTCAATATGTCGAATCAATCAAACATGTTGAGAATAGTTACTGATGAATGCAATGTCACATAAATCAAGATCAAAATATCATGTTCATATCCAAAATCACTTGGAAACATCGTTTGTTTGTGGAATGGACCTCACAAATGCATCCCAAATGTCAAAATTTCCCGATAGAGGTTATTAGACTAAGACAATGAGCAAGTTGGTGCATGAATCAAGTCAAAACCACCTCTATTATAATTGAAGTTAACCAAATGATGCATATTCACTAAACAAACTATGTGAATACATCTAGGGCATTGAATTTACGTGAGAAGGGGGCCTTCTATGATCAAAATGAGCAAAAATAATGAAAATGAAGCGGATCAAACACACCATTCATGAAATGAGCCTAAAATGCCTTTTTACTGCTGCTGCTGAAATTACTCAGAAGAGTTCCGTTCACAAAAACTATATGTGCATGTTTGGGACATTAAAATTATTCAAAAATGACAACCATATTGTCTAGTTCTCGAATATGAATCCACAATGCTAAATCAAGAAATACGATTCCAGATAGAAGAGGAATGAGGACTTGTGAGTAGGGATTAATACATTTGTTATTTATTTATTTGTTCTATTATATATATAATATATAATATTACTATTAATGTTAATATTTTAAAAAAGTTGAGATCAAATATAAAATTCCCTATTAAATTCTTGCTCTCTCGCTTCTCATGATGGCGTCCAACCCATTCCTTCACTGTATGACTCATCCAATGAATATATATATATATA